GGACTGGGGGGGGCTGGGGGAGCTCTGCAACTTACCTGGCTGCTTCTTGCTCTGACTGAGGGCTGCTGGGAGCAGGGGGTGGTGCAGGAAATGAACCCTGATCAGAATCACCAAAGGATAAGACTGACAACTGGTCTGTGCATGTGCATTCTCTGTTGTGGCTCCCACCTTGTGAAAAGCCATGCCTGAAGAGGTTAGGAAGTCTCACACACTTTTATTATTCAGCAGAATGTGCAGAACAGAAATGTTCAGGAGGGCATTTTTATAAAGGGATTAGATATGTAGTATAATGGAACAGTTCAGGAGAGTTCTTTTATAAGGGAACATGACTGACTGAACGTTTGTGTTGGTTTTGTCTTCTGGTTTTATAATCTCCCTTCCGCATTCTTATTACACGTCATCCCAATGGTGGTTTTAAATTTGTATTATTTCCTAATTCTGTAATCTTAGTCCTATTGCATCATTTACTGGATGTCATATGATCTATGTTTGAATTGTTCCTTATATTTTGTAATCCACCTTGAGCCTCAGCGAGAAACGCAGGCTATAGATGAAGTTAATAAGTCTCCAACATGGACCAAAATTATATAGCACTGAAGTGAATACTTTTGCTTCTTTATAATCACTTCTTCACGTTTCTGCTACAATCACTGAGCAGAAAGTACGGTGAACCCTACTTCATTATAAAGCAATATTTTTTCTTGCAAAATATTAGAGCAGAGATTAAGTTTACCTCAATCAGAAGGGCAATTATTGTTCTGCAGTCCAAGAAGTAATGGTTCCATTTTTCCTGACAACAGCACCTCCTAGAGGACTGGATTTCTAATGCAAACAAAATTATATCTCATCAGAAAAGAGCCACCACCACCACCCCCGCCATTCATCAAGATTTACTAGTAGTCCCCTATTTTCTAAAGAAATCTGAAGGTACTTCTTCAGGTCGTAGTTCTTTTAAACTCATTATTGCAAACAGGCAGCATCCTTTTGGATACAGGCTGCCTTAGAGAAAACCAGTGAACATTTGTTTGTTTCTGCATAACAGTTCAAGATGGTAAGTTATGTATTTTACAAAAGGAGAAAGTGCAGTTCATTTTAGAATTGTAAGGTGAACAACAGGCAGTTGGATTATTTTTTCTCCTGGAAAACAGTTCAGTGCAGCCTGCAAGGGTAAGAGAAAGTAGATAATAGGGATGATTCAGTTAACATTCTACACTAAGTGAATTACTCCCATGAAGCAATGATTACTTGTAGCAAAAACATTAACACACGAATCTTGCTTTTTTTCTGAGTGATGCCAGGATTGTGTCAATAGAGAATCTCAATTCCTGCTATATCATAATGCCCAATCAAACACCACCTGAGAAATGCCATATCAAGAACAGACAACTGTCTTGAACCAGCATGTTTGGTTGAACACTAGAAAGTAGGATCGTGTCCCCAGGGCTTAATTCGGACCAGAGCTTACCAGAATCTAGGCCTGAACCCTTTCTTCCAAGTATCAAAATGAGATTATCAAGATGGAGTGCCTGCAAACATTTTGAATCAGGTTACGAAGCAAAAATTCCACATAATCAGACATGAAGATTGCTTAGTTCCATTTGATGTCCTTTTTTCTATTATTATTGACACACACCCATCTTCCCAGTTGTCAGGACCTTAGTATGGGGGAGACACATCCAGCTGGGCACAGGGAATCAAATGGAGCGGTCATATAATATCTTTATATTATTTCTGATATAAACTAGGGAGTTTAATATAATGAGACTGTGTATAAGAGATAGGGCAGGGAGAATTAGCATATTACAAGTTTGTACCAAGGCTGGAAAAACAATGCTTGGGCTCTGCTTGTTGTTCACCTTACAATTCTAAAATGAACTGCACTTTCTCCTTTTGTAAAATACGTAACTTACCATCTTGAAATTAACCTTCTTTACAACATTCCCATGGGTTATAATCTACACATTACATTTTGAACTGTCAGTCGTGGCACATTTTAGTTAAAATTGCTGCCATCTTTGAATAGTAGGCACCATTTCTGGTGTTTCTGCCATTTTCTGTAAATATTCTGTAATTTCCCCCCTCAAAAGGAACCTTATTCTAAAAATCCATTAGCGTTTTGATGTTTGTACCATGACCTAACCAACAGTTCCTGTTATCTGCATTATATACATCATGCATCCAAATTCTATCCATGTTTCAGTTTTCTATTGTCTACAATGCAGCCACCTCCTAACTTCCTTCCAGTGGTCCTTTTTCACCATAGACACACAAGATATGTGTTTTGCACTCAGGTGTCTGAACCCAAGTACAAAATGAACTGTAAGAAGCGGTTCTTAGAATTAAGCAGGGCTATTTTTGGGCAGGAACGCACAGGAACGGAGTTCCGCCTGGGGGTGTGGCCTATTATGCTAATATGTTCCTGCTGGGCTTTTTCTACAAAAAAAGTCCTGGAATTAAGGATATTTTCTCACATGGAGCTTAATTGTATTTTTAGGTCTCTCACACACTACGGCTTGTAAACACAGAAATCAAATGTACATTACTGCCATATAGGTTTTATTTTCACACTACAGACCAGTTTAAGCCAAAGTTTCTATATGAAAACACCTTTACTGTATCTCTGGTTATCCATTCAGGTATTTCCACTGCTGTTATTTCTCTATCTACACCACAGACTTTGCCCATTTTGACTCATCAGCCACCACCCTTGTCCTCTTTTAAATTCCTTCAAAATACTTGTCTGAACTGAACTAAAAACTGCTCCCCCCCTCCAGTATTCTGGTTTTAAAACCTCTCATAAGAGAAGGATCAGGCATCAACTTCTTTAGCTATCTTCTACTTCTTTGATTGTTGAGAATTGGACAAACCCAAACTATCAGTGTCAGTCAGACATATCTAGAAGGTAAGTAGCCAACAAAAAGTAAAATATTGTTCCAAAAGGGATAATAGCCCCAATTGTCCTTTTGAGAAGGGGGCTTCTGTTTCACAGTGGCACCTATGGGCAGACTTGCAGAGAACGGGGGCGGGGGAGGAGGCAAATGGAATGAACTCTCTTTGAGCAACAGTGCCAGAGTGGCTAGGGAGAGAAGGACAGATTGTCCAATACCCCCTAAAAATTTTAATGGGGCTTACCTAAAGTAGGTGAACTTTTTGTACTACTCCTCCAAGCTACAGTTCTAAGAATACCAGCTTTTCCTATGACAGGACATAATCTGTGTCAGTAACAGCTTTGTGGCAGGTGGTGAATTCCTCAGTTCACTTTCTCTCTATAACACCATGCAGGGGAAGGCTGGACCAAACTTCTGCCCTAGAGTGTTACTGCTAAAGATGAGAAGACACACCATATGGTCCAGTACCCAGTTTGCAGCAGTTGCCCGACAGATTGTTCAAGGAATTAAGCCAAACAGCCATCCCTTGCCCCCAGCAACTGACATTCCAAGCTCCACTGCCTCTGAACCTGGAAGTTCCATTTAGCTGCAATGACCCCCAGAGGCTAAACTAGAAGCTATCTCCACATTGTGCAGCAGTGAATTCCCTAAGCTAGTTATGTTTAGTGCTCATATATATAACAATGTGTCAATTTCTACCAGTTCCTCCCTCAGTACTTGGGAGAGGCTAGGGAAAGGTGCAGGTACTTAGTACTGGTTGAGTACTATCACAAAATGTGTGAGGTGAAGACACCCCCCCCCTCCGAATCTACTGCCTATCCATTTCTTTGTGTGGTTGGAGTTCTTATCTTAGGGAAGAGGAAGAAAAATCTCTCTATTGTCTTCACACTTTGCATAATTGTATACATCTGTTATAATGTGGAGTCTCTGAGACTCTGGGTGCTCTGAGTCTTGTATCATGCAAGAGTAAGGAGGGGATCTCTCTTCACGTGGTGCATAACTTTAAAAACTCTCTCATGGCGTGATCTGTGGCAGAAGTGGCAAAATTGTATTTTTATTTATTTTATTGGATTTCTATCCCTTCTGATCAAGATGAGTAGCTGTGGGGGGTTTTTTGGTATGAACACTTGTACCCTTGTTATTTTTAAATTATTTTTAATGATCAAGATGAGTAGCTGTGGGGGGTTTTTTTGGTATAAACACTTGTACCCTTGTTATTTTTAATTATTTTTAAATTTTATTTCATACCACAATCTATATCCATTTTAAATGTGTCAGTCTGTCTGTAGCAGTAGAAAAGAGCAAGAGTCCAGTAACGCCTTAAAGACTAACAAAATATGTGGCAGGGTGTGAGTTTGGGTGAGTCACTGCCACATATTGGCCCCGGTCACACGGGCTCGAAAACACAGGGGGAAGCGCGGCTATTTGCGCCGTGGCATTCTGATGTGCTATTATGCGATCAGACGCAACGGCGGCTTCCCCGCAGCAGAGGATGGGGAAGCCGCACACTGCGACCGGGAGGCTTCCATAGGCAGCCTGGCAAAGTGTTTGCTAGTACATGCAATGTACTAGTTTTTTACTGCGTGGCTTCGGCGGCTTGCCACAGGTCGCCACAGGAGTGCTAAGCCTCCCATATGTTGCCGTGTGATCCTGCCTGGATATTCTGCGGGACTCCTGTGCCTTCAGGGGGGCAAATGCTCCCTGTGAACGGCCCACTGTTAGTCTTTAAGATGCTGCTGCTGGACTCTTGCTCTCTTCTATCCCTCCTGAGGGTCTTTACCTGAGGGTGGAAGGGGCTCATGTCCAAATTTCATGTGTGACATTCACGGGGCCTGTGTTGGGAAAGATGTTATCGGGGCTACTGTAGGACTTGAGGTAAAAGTCTCTCCTTATCTCTCCTCGCTCCCTTTGGTGCCCGCAAGCGGCCTCTGCCTCATCCTGACTACGACGGAAGACGCCAAAGGAAGCGCTCTCCCGAGGCGAGCTTCGGAGGCACCTCCTTCCCGCTGCTTCGCCTTGCGGTGCCTTCCCGCCTCGTTTCAGGGGGCGTGGCCGACAGCCTCCGCAAGAGAGCAGGGAGGAGCTTCCCTTAAAGCTGCTGGGGCAGCGGAGGCGCCAGCCAAGCTGGGATCGGTCCCCGTGGCTGGAACGCGCGGGAGACAAACTAGAAGCCGGCGGGAACATCCCGGAGCGCAGCCGCTTGGCTCGTGGCAGCTCAAGTTTCCTGCCCGCAGAGAGCTAAGAAAGGTGACAAGGCTTTGAGGAGGAGGTGGTAGAGGGAGGGGAGGGGGGGTCGTGTCTCTCCTACAATGTTTTGCTTTTTAAAAAAAATACTCGAATGAGGAGTTTCGATGGATATACCCGATATTTAAACAGGGTGGGGTGAATTGAAGAGGGAGTCGAAATCAGAGCATTAGGGAGGAATCGGAATAGTGCGACGTATCCGCAGATTTCAGTGTGAAAAGGCATGTTAATAGCGGGATATCAATGTTTACATAGAATAGGGGCGCTGTTTCTTCTTTCCTTTTTGACACCTGGATTTCTGCTAGGAATCCAAATTAAAAGAACTGTGAGGTGCTCCGGAATGAATCTGAACTGGAGAAGGCTTATGGGAGTGATGAGATTTGGGAGGTGGGACCCCCCCCCCATGGATTAACCCCCCCCCCATCATCATTTTGTGATGTTCCAGCCCTCCTCTGCCCACCATGCTGGTTGTAATGCATGTTATTAACTGAGTATTCACCCCATCAAGTTCTGTTAGGAAATTGGGAATCTTTCTGTAATTGTGTTAAGCATAGCTTAGGTAGAACAGGGGGAGAAGAAAACAAATATTAGAGGGTTGCCATTAGTGCATCTATACTTTTTTTAAAAAGCACTCTGGCATTTTTAGCACATGGGAAGATGTACTGGTGGGAATCCTTTGACTGATAACCTGCATACCATGTATTCCATCTCTCCCTCCCTTTAGGTTAATTTACAGAGCTTTAATGATTCAGTGTGTGTGTGTGTGGGGGGGAGATATCTCCCATTAATGAGCACTCTTTAAGTGCACTTAGTTCTGGGAGTTTAGTGACTCAACAAATAAATTGTTCCCTTGGTGAATAAAGCGTTAACATGCTTCAACAGCTCCTCAAATGGAAAGTCATGAAAAGTAATTTGACTTTTGCATGCTACACTCCCATGAAGCAAGGAGTGCCCATTTTCTTCCTTGGGGCAAGAGGGTGCTCTCCAAGGACATAAATTCATATCCATCAAATCTCTTTCCAGTTTAAAAGGACCTCCAATTTGTGGTGAATTTTTAAATTAAAATCCCACATGCTGTTATAGCTTTGTGTTCACATGTTTTCTCATTATTCCTTAGTAATGTGTCTCATATTTCTCCAGTGAACTGAAGAGAAAAGGAAGCAGGATGAGGCACAAAACAGAAGTGCTTTGTTGAGAGAGGAGGTAACATATATGCATATACATACATATTCACTCCTCCCTCTCCAATTTGTATAAATGCAGTTGCACCCATTAATACCTGCAGTATAATTGGTAGATCTCCAATACAGTGTTTGAAACACTGGCTGTGATGTGGATTGCCAATAATGGTTATCCAGGTGGAAAGAGCATTCTACATTTATTTACGTTATTTATAGCCCGGGTGCTTTCATGCACATTAAATGATGTACGTTCAATCCACTTTTGATTCACTTTGCAGCTGGATTTTATTATGTGAATTGGCAAAATCCACTTGCAAACGGTCACTGAAGTGGATTGAAACTGCATTATTTAGCATGTGTGAAAGTGCCTGTCTTTCTTACTGAGACCCTAGGCAGATTACACTGTGAAAGTCAAATGCAATCAATTGGTTGAAACATCTAATAAGCTATAGTGCATGTGACTGAATGTAGCAAGGCCAAAATAAGTGGTGGTGGTGGGGGACACTGCATCCAGCACGGGAACCCTGCATAAATTAATTCCCTTGTGATAGCCTTGTTTTGAGTAAGTCAGTGTGGAGCTTTCTGTCATGCTTATAGTTTTTTTGGGTTAATTGCCTCTAAAATCCAAGCAAGCTTGGCTTGCTTCACAGAGTTGAAACAAGCCATTTTACATATTTTGTCATCTTGAAAAGTCTTATGTTTTTGAAATACAAATGACAACTTGAGTATGTTTCAGGTGTGTAGCCATGTTGGTTTGGGGTAGAAAAGCAAGATTCAAGTCCAGGTGGTACTGGACTCAAATTTTGCTTTAAAAGAATGTGGTGGTTTTTCAGTTAGCATATATGGCAAACAGGGCACTTGCTCTGTCATTCATATATTAAAAATACATTAAAGGATTAAAAAATAAATTTCAAAGGTAATTTTTGTGTCTGGAAAAAGTAATGTCCTGAATAGATTGCTAGAATAGTTTTCAGATTGAAAATGGAATATACATTTTCTATAATAATATCCACAATAAATAGCTATAGCTCAGTGTACCTTAAGGCTTCTAAAATGGGAGGTGAGAAAATTAATAGCATTAAAAATATTTACCTGAATTTCTCTTAATTTCAGTAAGCTTCCAAAACAACTGTCTTAGACTCATAGTTCTCTAGACCAGTTATACAAGTAGATTTCCTCCTTTACAAGGAACTTTCTATTTGTCAGTTCTCATATTGCAGCACATTGATGTGATTGCAGAGTAAAATTCTTGAATTATTTTTCCTGTTTGCTTTTGATTCAGAGCTATGTGAGAATTCAAATAATATTTTGAAAGTGTTCTGCTTACACAACACGGGGTAGGTAGTTAGCAGAAATTTATTTGATTTGTGGTCATATAGCTGCTTCCCAAACTAATCCTGCAGAGGGAGGAGTGAATAATGAAGGAAGTTAAAGAATTTCAGTCAAGGGTACTTTTAATCTTGAGCCCAGATCTGCCCCTTTTTCTCATCAAAGCCATGTAAATCTATGACATGATCTTCCTCTTCCGTAGAGCTACTCTGCATAATTAAAGCTACCACGTCAAGCACTCCTGTCACAACTTGCTGGAGATCTGTGCATACTGCAATTTGGTTTGGCCTTGCCTGTGTGACTACACAAAAACCACACTGTTTATTAGTGCCATTGTACCAATATGGTACGCCCATGTGTGTAGAGAAATAGGAAAGGCAAAGTAGGAGCTGGGATATGTTCTACTTGAGCTTTTTCTGTTGATGAATTGCACAGTTTTTTTCTACATAAGTATTCAACTGTGACAATGAAAAGACTGAAGGCAAGCCTGATCTTAATTACAACCGAAGTAAGATTAGTAGCATTTAAAAAGACATTTCAAGCATGTAAGGCCACCAGAAACAACCTTTTAGGTGAGATTCAGTACAAAGTGGCATACATAATATACAGAGCTGCCTTATACTGAATCAGACCCTTGGTCCATCAAGGTCAGTATTGTCTATTCCACGGGTGTCAAACATGCGGCCCTTGGGCCAAATCAGGCCCCCAGAGGGCTTCTAGCAGGCCTGCAGTGAAACTGGCTGTCTTCTACTTCTGCTGCTGCTGCGTCATTGTAGGTTTGCAGCTTACAGATACACACCTGAACAGCATACTCAAGATTGCAACAGCACAGACATTTGGATGCAATAATTCAGAGCAAGAGGTATCAGTTATCAGACATTGTTAAATAAACAAAATATTGTAAGAGTGCTGATGTTTTAAGCATGTTTTTATTTTAAGTTAAAAAAAACCTTTGTGTTTGTGTCCTTTATAAAATTTATATCTCCGCTACCTGGCATTATATTTTTATTTGATTTTATATCATTGCTGGTGGCTTATAAGATCGTCGCTGGTTTGCTTTATTGTGTTATCTGTGGTCTTGTGCACAGTTTGCGGAGAGGTGGTACATAAATATTTTAAATTATAATAAATAATATTAAATGATTAAAAAGCGGCCATATAGATGCTCTATTACATATTTATTCTTTCCTTACTCTTCAGATCTCACAGCAGTGTATGTAACTCTCCTCTCCTCCACACAATCCTCTGAGTGACTGAGAGTTGCCCAGTGGGTTTTATGTCTGAATGCAAAATTTGAACTTGGGTCTCTCCATTGCCAGCATAACACTAACCACTGTACTACACTGCTCACTGCAGAGAATGGCATTAATGGGCAGCAACCACAGAATGTTCATAACAGGATACTTTTCAACTACAGACAGAACAGAATATCTTTGAACAGGTTTTTCTCCATCACCGTTTTGGGTGTCTCCACAATCTAGCATGGTATCAACCAATTTGCCTTGAGTTTTAACAAATCTTTCAGGTTATTCTTAGTCATTTCATCCATCAACAGTGTTAAATATCTATAAAGTAGCTGAAGGCTCAAACAGATGATCAAAGTATTTAAACTTTAATCTGAAAGAACAGTAAGCATATATTTATAAACAGAGGCCTGTATTGTGGTTGCCAGCCTCCAGGTGGAGCCTGGAGAGTTCCCAGAATTACAGTTCATCTCCAGACTACACAGATCAGATGGCAGCTTCAGAGGGTGGACTCTATGGAATCACATCCATGTTGAGTTCTCCCCTGCCCAAACTCCACCCTACCTAGGCTCTGTCCCCTAATATCCAGGAATTTCCCAACCCAGAATTAGCAATCCTAGCTTTTATCCAGCCATGCAGTTCCAAAGACTTTTAAGGGCACTTAAGTTATCCTAACGGAGGGCAATGGTTTCTGCTGATTTCCCCCTCCCTACTGTAACCCACTGAGGCCCTCTCCTCCAAAATGTTCCTGGAGGTCAGTGACCTCCAGGAACAGAACAATGGGGCTCTGCAGTGGGAGGGGAAATGGGCAGAAATCACCACTCCCTCTTAAGAAAACTTATTTGGAATGTAGTTGAACACAGGCTATAATTTTCAGTGATAAATGGTGGGAGCCAAATCCTTCTGCCACTTCTGCTGCTTCTTTTTTTAATAAGGAAACTTGATGCTCACATCGTGACTTTGAGTCAGCTTCCTGAGGTTGTCTTTTCTTTTTTGCTTGGAACTATCCTTACAGCCGAATATGTGTTGTAAATGCCAGAAAGATCTTTTTGAAATAAAACTATACACATGTACTTACAGTGTAACCTAATATATAGTGCATCAGATTGGTACTTGGGAAAAGACATGGGCTGATGGAGGACAGGCTGTGGCTCAGAGATGGAGCATCTGCTTTGCGTGGGAACAGCCCAGGGTCAATCCCTGGCATCTCCAGTTAAAAGGATCGGGTAGCAGGTGAGGTGAAAGATCTCTGCCACCTGAGACCCTGGAGGGCTACTGCCAGTCAGAGTAGACAACGCTGACCTTGATAGACCAGTAATCTAACGCGGTAGAAGGTAATTGTGTGTTCAATAGTCAGAGTTTTCAGTTTGATAATAACTAGTCAGCCTTTAATGACAACAAGCCCTTCTTAAAGGATTCTTTTTGTGGAAGATCAGAAAAATTCAGTGGAACTAGCATCAGGACTTTAGTTTTGGTTATATGTTTCCTTTTCACATACTCCTGTAGGAGTAGGACTCTTGGGTATTCACATAATTGTTTAACCAGATATATACACACACAGAGAGAGAGAAAATTAGAGAGAAAGAATAAGAATATCCACATCTACAGTTAAAACCTGCCTTTCAAGCCCTGCAGAGGTTAGGTGGATGGTGACCAAAGGCAGGGCATTTTCTGTGGTGGCATCTTGCCTTTGGAGCACCCTCCCACTTGAAGCTTGCCTGGCACTTACTTTACTTTCTTTTGGCACCTGGCTGAAACACATATTTTTACCCAGGCTTTTAATAAAGAGCTTTATCTTCTCAGCTTTTTAATGGTTTGCTTCTGTTTTATAGATAAGTTTTCATGCTGCTTATATCTAGTGAGTTGTTTTTTTATTTTTTAACACTTTGTTTTTTACTATAAGCCAGCTCGAGTAGGACTCTGAAGAAGTGGCATAGAAATATTCTAAATAAATACATAAAGTCACTAAGGCTTTTTGAATAAATAAAGTTGTAGTGGGGATACCAAGTTTTAAAACTAATTTTCTCAAAAGAATGGGGCTATTATTTCTTTATTACTGTACTTCCTCTCCTTTCCCATGGGTCTGTCTGGAAACAAGCTTAATTTTCTTGTTAGTTTGTTTACTAGTGTCTGATATCCTCCTCCTTCATGAAATGTTATTACAGGGTGAAATTACTGATCATTTGCCGTATTAATTTTGCCTCAATAGGACAAAGGACGTACACACAGCCATGGACTGGGGATCACTCCAAGCCATTTTAGGAGGCGTAAACAAACATTCCACAAGCATTGGGAAGATCTGGCTTACTGTCCTGTTCATTTTCCGTATCATGATTCTTGTGGTAGCTGCAGAAAAGGTCTGGGGAGACGAACAACAAGATTTTGTTTGTAACACTCAACAACCTGGATGCAGAAATGTCTGCTATGATGAGTCTTTCCCCATTTCTCACATTAGACTCTGGGCTTTGCAACTAATTTTCGTGTCCACTCCTGCACTTTTGGTGGCAATGCATGTTGCCTACAGAAAACACGAAAAGAAACGACTGTGCAGAGAGAAAATTGACATTGAAAATCTGAAACTGCAAAAGTTTCATATCGAGGGTGCCCTATGGTGGACATACACCAGCAGCATTTTCTTCCGAATTGTCTTTGAATCTGTCTTCATGTACACATTTTATTTCATGTATGGGTGGTACAAAATGCCACGCTTAGTGAAATGTGAAGCTTGGCCTTGTCCAAATAAAGTAGACTGCTTTATTTCCCGACCCACTGAGAAAACCTTGTTTACTATTTTCATGCTGGCTGTGTCAGGTATCTGTATGGTCTTGAATGTGGTGGAGCTGTGTTACTTAGTGCTCAAGTTTTGCATGAGAAAACCTAAGACCATCAAATCTCTGCCCAACCATTAGACACTTACCTGCTCATGCACCTAATTTTGCATTGATTTCAGAAAATGGTCAATAATATTTTTAGACTCCTTGACTATTATATGATGCAGTTATTTAATGGCCACTTTGCTCTGACCAATATGACACCAGTGTCCACAGCAAAGCAACACCTAATCCTTATTACATGAAATTACTCCAAGTTCTTCCTACTGCTGAAAGGAGCTTAGTTTTGTTTATTTGGTTTGTTTTTAATGAAAAGAGAATAGACTACTCATCTTTAACATTTCCAGCAGAATGTTGCTGCAAGCATAGACCTATACAGCTCAAAAAACTCATATTCAGTGGTAATATTAGGTAATTTTAGATATTGGACTTCATGAGATTACTTGAGAGATTCAGATGAATACAAGATGAGCTTTGGCTCTGAATACAAGATGAGCTTGCCAGCTGCCCTATTTCTCTCTAGCTTTGATGGTGAATCTGAGGTAGAGAACCTCCCTTATTCCACCCACCCAGTGTGGAGGCAGCTGAGAGGAAATTAATTCCATCCATCTTTCTTTATTCCTCCACTTCTCTACTCCCCCAATGCTTTCTGGGATGTGTAGTTCCCAGAATGTCTGAACGTTATTGTTCCCAGAATGCACTGGGGCCAGTAGAGGAATAAAGAAATACAGAGATGAGCTGAGGGGACTATATAGGGCTCCACCTGCATTTTGCCCCCATCCATCTGCTAAGCCAGGGTGACTAGACTTGGCCAGTGCCACTGCATGTCTTTGATATGTTTTTAATTATTATGGTAAGCCACCTTGAACCGTGAGGAAAGGCAGGACTGGAATGTTTTAATAAATAAATGTGTGGCATTTTCAAAAATGTGTAAAAGGACAATTTCTTGTTGATATCAGAGACCTGATTTTGCTTTTTCAGGGAGGAGAGACAATAGCTGTCATGCAGATTTATAACCCTATCTGCAGTGGCATAGCTGGAATATTACATATAAAAATCCAATAGAAAAATGTAACATTTGATTGCAATCCATGGCATACTGGACGGGATAAACAATTTCAAAATTATACCACTGCATTTAGCAAGACATCTGAGCACACCCTAGGAGAGCCTGAACCTTGCCACAATTTGCTCTTCTTAAAAAAACAAACTATTGTCTTTCATTTAGGAATAGGGTTCTCATTTTAAAACCTGCTTCTGCATTGCACTGCCCTTCCTTTATAAGAAACTGGACACCGTATGGGAAGAAAAAAATCATGGTGCTATTAGGAGCAGTTTGAGGAAAACACAAATCTGTAAATAAAGATTAAAGTAATTCTGTCTCTGTGAGAACATCCTTAATCCAGCTATGACCAACAGGAACTTTGTTTTATTTCATGCTTCTGCTTGTTGCATGCGTAATTGCCTGTTTTACTGCCAAGGGAACACTCTGTTATGACCAATACTCCAGTATTACAAAATATTTGATTTGTATCAATGATACTTTTTTTAATGTTATCTACTTTTAACTAAATAATATTTTCCACACCTGCAGTTGTTTTTTACTTGAAGGGTTAGAGGGTAATAATATGTTTACACCAAATAGAGAATGTAAATTGAGTACCACTTTAGCAGTGAAAGGCTACTACTGTAAACACAGGTACTTGAAACTTATACATATGTAGAGGTCACACTAAGTTTGTTAATATTTTGATGACTTGGTTAAACTATATTGTTTGTATGAATGGATAATGATGTTTTGGAAAAGCAGCCCAGCTGCAGAGGCTATGAATGATAAAGTAATAATAAAAGGACTTTCCAAACAAACAGTTGCCTTTTCATTTTCTATTGCATAGAAACAACAAAGAAATTGGCAGTAAAAGGAAGATGCATGATAACAGTTACAAAGTTAATTATTTGGAAATAATAACCAGAGTTAGAAGCAGACAAGCAGATTAAGAAGTCAACAGGGGTAAGAGCCAACATTTAATATCTAGAGCCAATTTAAATTAATGGTTTTTTCTCTGAATGCAATTTGTGTAGGTTGCAAGGGTCTTTGTCCTTGCCGATATTTGCAGCCATTTTTGTACTATCTATATCAATTAAAATATTTATACCTTATTCCCCCCCCCCAAAAAAGAGAGGGATTTAGAGCCATTCACAAAAGTAGATTCCTAATGTGTTCAGGGAAACTGTTTCATAAAGGGGAAGACATTATAGCAAAAGCCTGTGGTTGAGTAGTAGCAATTGTAGTCACGTAGAAAGGAACAGATAAATGGAACTGCAGAGATGAAAGAAGTTGGTCATGAAGGGCTTTAGAGATAGAGGCTGGCACCTTGATTTGAATCCAAAAACAAATTGGTAACCATTGCAAAGATTTTAAGAAAGCAACTATATGTACAAAATGGCCAACTCTAGTCAATAATCCTGCAGTCACATTCTGAACCAGTTGGAATTCCTGAGTTGTCTTCAAGGGCAGCCCCAAGCAGAATATGTTACAATAATCTAGCCTTGATGTCACAGTAGCATGGATCACCATGGCTAGACCACCTAAGTCTAAACAGGGAGAGAACTTGAGAGGTAAATGAAGTTGAAAAAATACATTCTTGACAGCTATACTAATATGTCCCACCTCCAGCAAGAAAGCTGGGACAGTCTGGGTTGCTTGTAGTAGAATTTGCCAAAGAAAGGCTCACCGTTGGGTGGGTAGCATATTTCCCTCTACAGCATTAGCTTTACCAGCCACCATAACCTCCATCTTTTCTGGATTCTTGGTCTATTGTCAGCTACTTGACCATAGCATCTAGCGACCAACCAAGAGCAAAGACAGCAACTTCTGGAGATCTGTTCAAATAAATACAGAGCTGGTGACACTCAACCCCAAAGTTTTGGACAATTTCATTCAGTGTTCTTACATAGATAATAAAAATTATTTCCTTCACAGAGAGGTTGGGGCTGTTCCTACAGGCTTTACAGGCAGGATTAAAGGGTGATCTTTTTTCAGAAGATCTTCAAACCGGATTAAAAGAAGGGTGGTGCCTGTTGGGTTACCTCTGAACTTGTTTTATATAGTATGCACATGTTTTTAATGTATTTTATTTTATGTAGTTTATCTATATTGCAAGCCACCTCGAGCTCCATAAGGAAGAAAGGTGGCTAATAAATGTTTTAAATAAATAGGGAAAATGAGCAAAAATTAAAACATTTATGCAGGAAAAATAGTGTAGAAGAGAAGAAAAAGTGACAATTCCCCTGCTGGAGCTATAATATCTCTAGCTGCAAAGTTTCTTTATACTGTGATCTTATTTATTTACATTTAATTATTTATACCCAAGTTGTAGTGTAGTGGTTAGGAGCACGGACTCTAATCTAAGAGAAACGGGTTTGATTCCCCATTCCTCCACATGCAGCTGCTGGTGTGACCTTGGGTCACTTACAAGTTGTTTCAGAGCTGTTCTCTTACGAGCAGTTCTCTTATGAACTCTCTCAGCCCCACCTACCTCACAGGGTATCTGTTGTGTGGGGAGGGAAAGGAGATTGTAAACCACTCTGAGACTCCTTCAGGTAGTGAAGGACAAGGTATAAATTCAAGCTCCTCTCTTTTTCTCCCATACCAGGCGTGCAGTGGCATTTACAAATGAAAATAAAAAGTACAACCCCAAGACAAAGATATACAAATTAATAGGTACTTATTAGATTTTTCAAGCAGGTGATGAATTGTAAAGCTATCCTGGGCTGGGGCTGGTTCTGCTAGTATGGCTGACACAAGGCCACAGTCTGCAAGTCACAGGTTAAGAGCCCAGGCTTCACAAAATGGGGAGAGGCAGATGCTCGGCCACAGGAGTAGTTCATTTGGCTCAGATGTCCCCAGTTCCTTCATTTATTTCAGAGTTGACTTGTAAGTAAGTAACAGTCCAACCCTATGCAGAGCTTCTCCATTTAGACCGGAGAAACCCTGCACAGGATTACACTGCAAGTATCAGGAGACGAGAAGGGTAGCAAATGTGATGGCCTGACCTACTTGTAACCCCAAGCCTGAGACAGAAGAGAGCTGTAGAGCATGGTAGGCACTCTGTGTGAGTGGAGAAGGGGTGTCACAGTCCCTTCTAGGGAAATGTTATCTTTGGAGCTTTCTGGTCCACCATCCCTACTGTAGATATTAAGCAATGAAATGTTGGGGAAATATGACAAGGACATGCAATTTAATATTCAGGCTGACTCACTGACTATAACCTATCCACATCATCAATCAGACTTGGTTAGGTATTGTAAATACCTAACAATACAATGACACACTGAGAAGATTACATTTTCACAAATAAGACAGACAAAAGAAAGTCACCTCGCTTGCAATGCCTGTTTCCTCTAAAGCCAGGAGGAATCCCACACAATTGTACTGATGAATTGTTCACAGTTTGCTCACAGTATTTTGAATAGCTTTGCACCCAGACAGTTGGCAGTACTGAGCATGGATGCTGGCCAGGTAGCCACTGTTGGTACATGTTCAAAATTCTGTGGGCTTGTTTGGTTTATATATTCCCCAGAGACATAATGGGCAGGTCACACATCATTTAAAATCAGGTATATTTTTTATTTTATTTATTTATAGCTCACCTTTCTCACTAAAACTCAAGAGATGTATGTGCTGCCTTGGTGCCTGGGCAAATGGCTGCATCGTTCAGCATTTTGACATATGCTGGATTAAGTTTACTGGACTAAACTACAGTTCCCAGATAGCAGTACCAGAACATGTGAAGTATTTGTGATCCAATTTGGAATGTTCAGTTAACATGAATGCACTCAGCTTTGTGAGTCAGGCAGGTAAAACAGGCTAGGCTGGAATAGTGGAGAACAGCCACACAATTTCCCCCACTCACCACAGTCAAAGAGACCACAGAAAGCACATATTTTGTAATTTATTTTTTTTCTCTTTTGGTTGGATTGGGTGAACAGCAGACAAGGGGTAGCCACAGGAAAGCAGAACATTGAAAATTCAATTTAGAACAATTTCATGTGTTCAAAATGATTTTATTTAGGATGGCATTTGATTTAATTTTAGTTCTTCTGCCTACTGGCAGTTTTAAATCACTGACTGTGGATTAGTGGTTCATGTATCTTATTGTATTCTATTGTTTATACTGTAAACCATCTTGAGTTCCTGTAAGGCAGAAAGGTGGTTAATAAATGTTTTAAATAAATAAAATAAAACGTGAACATTCTTGGGTGTTCAAGGGTGCGGCTTCCAATTTGTGATCAAATTACAATTCAAACAGAAAACTGCTCACATATCACTGATTAGATCGCAGTAACAATAAAGTTATTTGTTCTAAGCTAATTTAGAAATCAATACAGTCCTTTAAAAGTCTGGCCTAATCTACAGATTCCTTGTTGATGTTCATAGAACTCAGGGATACAAAACATCTCAGCCTGCAAGGACTGTCCCCTTCATTTCCCTGGAATGATCTTCATGTTTATCCCTTTGTATGCACAGATCATCAGTTCCAATATGATCTGGCCATACTAAGTGGATTGGAGAGTTCCATGCGTAGTATAGCGTACACAGAATTCCCATTTTAATTACTGATTTTCTTTACTTCATTCATATGCTGCCTTTCTCTCCAATGGGGTTCCAAAGCTGCTTACATCATTCTCCTCGCCTACATTTTATATTGACAACAATCCAGTGTGGTAAATTGATTGAGAGCATGTAACTGGCCCAAAGTTACGCAGAAAGCTTACATGGTAAAGCGGGGATTTGAACAGGGGTTTCTTAGATCCGACCTAGTCTGACACCCTAACCACTACATGACATCAGCTCTCATTGTCTTCTAGATGGAAGTGGTTTTGGAGTTTCACACCTAATCCAATCTAATAGACTCATTTGAGCTGTGGTGCTGGAGAAGGCTCTTCCGCATTCCTTGGACAGCAAAGGTGACAAACAAACAAGTATTGGAGCACATAAAACCAAACATGTCACTGGAAGGAAAAATCATAAAACTCAGACTGACTTATTTCAGCCATGTCATGCGGAAGAACTCAGTAGAAAAAGCAATTATGCTTGGATTGGCTGGCGGCAAAAAGAAACCGGGTCACCAAAGAATACAGTGGCTAGACACCATAAAAGTCAACACCAGCCTGAGCATGGAACGACTCAAAG